CTTCACATACTCTAAAGATAGCATTCTATTCTTTATTAAGTGTCTAACTGATTCATGTCTTATGCGAATGTGTCTTTCTTACCATTGTAAGTTTGGTTCTTAGCCACACATATCGCAGCTTGTGAATAACACAACAATGAAACTGGAGGAGTCGGTCTTCCCCACAACGGAATATCTACTAACAAGCTTCTGAGCCACTCGGCTTCTTGCCCAGCTAGGTCAAGAACTATAAACTCTGACTACATGGTAGAACGAGCAATACAAGTCTACTTTGATGATTTCCACGAGATTGCTGCTCCACCCAAAGTAAAAACATACCCGCTCGTAGAGCTTACCTCATCATTATTAGAAACCCAGTTGGCATCACAATATCCTTCCAGTACCGTAGGAAAGCAAACAAACTCAAGTTTCCAATCCAAAGTACCCTTGAGATACTTCAGTAAGCGTTTAAGAGAAATCCAGTGTTCACCACTCGAATTATGAGTATATCTACTCAGTCTACTCACAGCATAAGCAATATCAGGCCGAGTATAGTTCATTAAGAACATTAAGCTTCCGATTAATTTAGCATATTCAGTTTGGGAAACGCTGCTTCCTTTATTCTTAAAGAGATATATGCTAGGGTCACAAGGGTTCGAACAGGGACGGCATCAAAACTGTCAAATTTCTTTAACACTTTCTCAAGATAGTGTGCTTGACTTAAAGAAAATCCCTTTTTCCGTTTTTGGTAATTTTGACTCCTAAGATTACATTTACTTCTCCCAAATTCGTTATCTCAAATTTAGTGGACAAGAAAATTTTGTTTTGTTAATGGACTCAATGTTAGAACTGAAAATCAACATGTCATCAACCATACAAAACGTATGATGATGCAATCAGTACCAAACATCCTCGAATACACACAAGCATCCGAACCATTCACAACAAAACCAAAACTAAGTATAGTTTTATGAAATTTCTTGTACCATTATTCCCATATAGATCTCCTCATCTAGATCTCCATTCAAAAATGCAGTCTTAACATCCATTTGATGTACTTGCAACTTATGAATAGAGGCTAGTGCAAATAATGCACGGATCTTTGAGATGTTCATAACGGGGAAGTAAGAATCAAAGTAGTCTAAAACAAAATTGTGAGTGAACCCTTTGACAACTAGTCTTGCCTTGTACCACTGGATTAAACCATTGGTCTCATTTTCTTCTGGAAGATTCATTTGTTACAGATTGGTTTAAATCCTCTAGGCAAGTAAACTAATTCCCAACTATGATTAGACATTATCGATTCTAGTTCATCATTAAAAGCGTTTTTCTAGAAACTAGCATCGATAGATCTTATAGCTTTTTTAAGATCCTCATATAACATTTAAGCTATATGATCAGAAAGAGAGTCTAAATCATTTATCTCATAAATAAAGGAAGTGATAAAATTTGGTCCAAATAGCCTTTTACTTCTTCTAAGCTCGAAATCAATTTCTTGAGAAGACCTAGCAGGAATACTAGAAGAAGTAGATATAATATTTTCTATTTGAGTTTATGCATTTAATCTACATTTTAAGACACCCCAACATTTCTAACATTTTAGGATATCCATAAGTGTCTTGTAAAACGTGTAAACAAATACTCAATCATACTAGAGTAAGTTTGTTATGAGTTTTAGCCATAAACTATATTTTAACAAACTCAAGTTTTGTTTACACATAATTATTTCTCAAAGTTTTGAGAAGTTACAAATCATTAAGATTAAAATGCATAAACCAATATGAAATTCTTTATGACTTTTCCTCATTCAAAATGAATTTCGATTTTTTCCTAACATCATGAAAAAATGATCTCATGTTTAAAACAATAGATTTTAGCACAACTGAAATAGATAATCTCTTTTCTTTTTTCCTCTACTTAGGAAAATCACTTAAAGAGATTTAATAGCTACAACACACTTTTAGTAGCAATAGTGTCTATCATATTCTCGTTCATGATATTCAATATATTAGCCTTAAAGAGATCATCATATATTTTATTTATTATGACTAAATTTGGTATTCCACTAAACCAAATTAATCTCTACTCTTTTAACTTCTGCACTAATTTTTAAGAGTTTTTATATTGTCATAGTATTGGAATAGTGAGCATAGTAATGAACAATGCACCAAGTAGGTTTCTATGAAAAATAGGTGGTGCACTAGGCACGCTTAAGTACCAAGTCTTCATAGAACCAATCCTAGACATGCACTTTCATACTCATCACACTACTTTCCAATAAATCTTTTGTGAATTTTCTTTTTCTTTAAATAAGATCTCTTTAAATAATTATGCTTGATACTTTTACTCACAATAGTATCTTATTAAGCATATAAATTTTGGGCTCAAACTACTGCCTTAGCCTTAGTAGTACTACCTTAGTCTTTAATAGTGGTTTTATCTCATTTTATAGTATCCACTGAGTTTTAAAGACTATCTTAAAGGCTCATGCAATCTAATTCATGTATTTAAAAGGCATGAATTAACAGGCAACAAGTCTAAACAATCTGACCTCACAGGTAGAATCACAATTCCAAATAGACTTGTTCATTCTCACCATGCATGCAACTTCATTCTTTGCATCATCATCTTCATGATTCTCCAAAATTACAACCATCCTGTTGTCTTTATAAATTTCTCAAAAGAAATTATTAGTATGATAAAATTTATTTTCAACTTAATATTCAGAAACTGAATAATCTTACCCCCACATGAAAATAAATAGTTAATCTTTTCCACATATTAACCAATCATGCATGCATTATCTCACAAAAATGTTAATCAACATTATAATCATGTCACTTCTTGATTATAGCATATAAGTTTCAAAATTGAACATTTACTAAACACCAACATTTATATAGCTATTAACAAACATATATATAGATATTTAATAAACTGTTCAACCTCCTATTGAAACTTAAAAACCATTTAAATATAATGATTATAATTAACATTCATGCTTAAGATTAAAAAAATCATGAAACTGCAACACTAAAGGTGTAAACATGAGTTTCATGTAAAAATTAATGCAAAGCTTTATTGCATTTAAATTGATTAACCTTAATGCACATTAAAGGTTTCTTTCAACATGCATATAACAAATGGGCAATTCAATAACAATTCAAAATTTATTATAAAAATAATAATAAATTAACCAATTTCAACATTCTCGTAAACCAGGACCCAAACGAGAACGAGTGAAACCACCATCGGCTAATACTTCAATCTGTATATTACTTTGTAAATAAACACCATTAAAGCTATAATTTGCACAAATAATGGCCAATTAAAATTATTCAACGTTTCAATTCAAATTTATTTACAAAGTAATATAAATCCAATATTTAAAGCTATAATAAATGCATAGAATTGTTTCAACCCAAATGTATTAGTAAATAAAGATGTTACTCACCTTTAACTCATGTAACAACACCTTTCTACATGCTCCTTTTAATATAACAACATAATGAGTTACAAAAATCACATTAGTGAAACCGTTATAGGATAATAATAAATATATAAATTCTCATTATGCTAACGGTAGTTATAACTCATATCATTATAGCATCTAAAGCATCTTAGCATTGAAAGCATTTTTTTTCCAAATACCTATTTTATTATATTCTAAACTATAGCAATAAAATATAGATATATATTCAAAAACGTTTTAAACGTTTAAACAACCATGAATTCTAAAAATCATTTCTCCTTGATTATGATGTTACAAAAATTAATCAAACATCTTTAAAGGATTTTCATTTAAGAGAAATTTAAAGTCATTTGTAACTTTAATCTCCAACACATTCAAAGGTAAAACGTTTGACATTTAAACGCTAATTATTACCTATTTTTTTATTACAAACCTTTCTAATCAAATGTAATATATAAATTAAAACCATTTATATACCACCCAATGGCTTTATCACATAGCTTTATCACAAATGCCTTTTTATTCACCTTTAAAACCAAAGTTAAATTTTTTTAATAGATAACGTTCACCTGATTTTAGACCTCATGTATAAAGGCATTTAACAAAACATTAAAAACAGTTGTTAAAATGATGTGTCTAACGTGCAGAATTTGATTTAAGCTAAAATATTCTACTTTTAAACATTTCTAACGTATGATCATCTTATAAACAGGAACCGTTCCGAAAAATGTTTTAGATTAACACACTTATTCAAAAGTGTGTTTTAATATTACCTCAATATTAGTAACAGGAACAATTTGAGTTTCTTACCGATAATTTTCCAGTGATCATAGAATCCATCTTTCTTCACAACATGAACAATAGTAATTATTGTCGTATTTAGCAGCAGTAAGAATTTGCTTCTAAATTGTTGGTAAAATAGACTGCTGCAAAACGAGGCGTTAGCACTGACTGGAAAATATTAAATAAAATAATCAATCAGAATGATAACCGTGTCGTAGTAATCCACTGCCTTAGAAGCAAATTCGCCCCGATGTGTGTAATCGCTACAATGAACGAACAGCCCCCTGAGGTTAACACGGCTCTCCAAGAATTCATACACCCGAAAACTGGAGTGAACTTGGTGGTATTGCTCTTCTCTCAACTCAAACAACACTCAAAAGAGAGAGTGTTTCAAAGCAAATGATTGCTTGGGATATATCAAAGTGAATGAAATTGTCCTCTATTTATAGGCTAAATAGAGAGGGCAAAATAGTCACTTCCAAATCACAATTTAATTCTATTAAACATAGAATTAAAATCCTTTAAAAGACTGTTACAAATTGAGCATTACCAACAATTCAAAAGTTGCAGAAGAAGCTATTGCTGGTATAACCTATGGTTACATGCTAGTAATCAAACTCTAAGATGATTTATTCATTTTTCACTTTCATCTTTGTTGTGTTGGTGGTCCTCTACTTTATATCTATGTTACTTGAACTCAAGAATGAGCGTCGGATACATATATGTGTCTTCACGGGAATGATGAATCCCAACTACATAGCTTACTATGGTCTACTTGGTTTTTTTAAACTTTAGGTTGGGAAGCTGCGGAAAATGTAGTGGTGTTGAAGCAAAAACTCCTGCAGTTCAGCAAAACTCGGCTTTAGAAGATCGTGTGAGCCATCTTGATGGAGCTCTCAAGGAATGTGTAAGGCAGCTAAGACAAGCAAGAGAGGAGCAGGAGGAAAAGGTCCATGAAGCCATTGCCAAAGCTGCCCAGGATTGGGAAACCACCAAATGCGAACTCGAAAGTCGGTTGCTTGAGCTCCAAGCTAAAGCTGAAGCTGTTAATTCTGAGCCCCCTCCAGAGTTCAGTCATGACCTTTGGCGAAAGATTGAAGCTTTGGAGAAGAAAAATGCAGACCTTGAACTCGAGCTCTCATCTCAATTGGAGATGGAAATCAGAACAATTGAAAGGGACTTAAGCACCCAAGCAGCTGAAACAGCTAGCAAACAACTCTTGGAGAGTATAAAGAAGGTAACAAAGCTTGAGGCCGAGTGTCGAAGACTCAAAACAATATCTGATAAATCTCTGAACGTCTCCTCAATGTATGCTGAATCTCTTACAGATAGTCAATCAGACAGCGGAGAACGGGTTAATCTTGTGCAGATCGATACTCACAAGATAAGCGGCTTGGAGGCAAACAAAGAACCTAGTTGTTCTGATTCATGGGCATCAGCCTTAATTGCAGAACTTGATCAATTCAAAAATGAAAAGGCCATCAACCGAAACCTCCTGGGTTCTTCCATTGAGAGTAATCTAATGGATGATTTTCTCGAGATGGAAAGACTTGCTTCATTGCCTGAAACCATGAGCGAAAACCATTGTCTTGAACCTAAAGCTATTGCGAAACAATCTAATAACGATGGTGATAGCTCAATGCAGGCTGAGCTTGAAGCCATGATTCATCGAACAGCGGAACTCGAAGAGAAGTTGGAGAAGATAGAAGTTCAGAAGGCTGAACTAGTAATCGCTCTTGCCAAAAGCCAGGAAAGTCTAGAAGCATCGGAGCTGAAATTGGAGGACTTGCAAAGGGAGCTCTACAATGCAAATGATGCAAAGCAACAACTCGATTCTCAACTCAGGAACGTGAAAGCAGATGTAGAGAATATGTCAGCAAAGATTAACTCATTAGAAAATTAAATCGAAAAGGAAAGGGCTTTGTCCGCAGAGGTTGCACTTAATGCAAATGAATCAAAGAAGATATTGGAGTCTCAACTCATTAGAATCGAAGCAGATGCTCGAACAATGTCTGCAAAGATTGAATTATTAGAAACAGAAGAAAAGGAAAGAGCACTGTCAGCACAAATTACAGTCAAGTGTCAAGAACTTGAAGAAGAGCTGTCGAGGAAGAAACAAGAAGCTGAGCTACAGCAAAACCTTAACTCGAACGTTGAAGTGAAGATAAAACAGGTAATTCTTCCGTCTTCTCATTGACTATTGAATTACTAAATTGTTTTAGAAGTTTGGGATATTTTATTTGATAATCACAAGACGCCATGGCGGAGGATTTAGCTACTGCTGCTGGAAAACTTGCGGAGTGTCAAAAAACAATAGCATCTTTAGGAAAGCAACTGAAATCTCTTGCAACACTTGAAGACTTCTTAATCAACACCAGGAGCATACCCGAGTACCCTACAGGTGGATCATCGATTCCTAAAGCTGGTGGAGAGCCTTGGAATTTACGTTCCTATGAAACATCTTCACCCAAAAGAGATCCAGAGTCTCCAAGAGCTAGTGCTGATAAGGACAATGGAAACTCACCGCCATCTTCATCCTCGTCTTCAAATATTGTGTCATCAAATCATGTCAGTTCCGAGAAGCACAGAAATGGATTTGCGAAATTTTTCACTCGGAGTAAGAACGGGATACAACTAGAAATTTAATAGAATTTACACACGTTGTAAAATTGTTGTCATTTTAAAGACGGCGATTAAATGCTGATTAATCACCGGTAATATCATTTAATCACTCTTAAGTTGTCTCAATCTATACGATTCATGAATGTTTGTTGTATTCATATTGATATCAAGATTCAAATGCTTGGGGTTCGGCTGTCTGCATCTTTTAATGAAAATGAATGCCTTCTGCTTTACTCTATCCTGTTCTTGACGGTAGTATTTCAAGTTTCCTGACAATATTCGGCCATGTTAGCTTGAAACGAATCAAAATAGCTGTGGGAGGAAAAAGGTCAAACAGTAATTGTAGAATTAGAAACTACCATAAATGAGATTAACGATTTATCACACGTGTTAACTTTTTAATAAAATGTTGAAAGTTTTGCTACCTTTCATTTCTAAAGTCCGACCGACTTCCTGAAACACAGAGAAGAGAGCGGAGAGCTAATAGGATTTTAAAAAGGTCATTGGGGTGAGAGAGGCTCGAACTCTCGACCTCAGGATAACTCAGAAGCTATGAGACCTACGCGCTGGCCAACTGCGCCACCACCCCATTGTTGACTGATTATCATCAGTAAAGTTAAAATTTATTATAATATAAACAATTTAAACAAGAGGAATGTTGAAATAATTTTAAGTGAACGTTTTATTAATTGTAAGGAAATGAATTTGGTTGAATTCCAATTTTAAATTTGAAATTAAATTCAAGATAAAACTTAAATTATTCAAATAAATTCAATTTCTTATATGTTAAACTGGATTCATATACTTAAGTACTTAACTTTAAAGTTCAGTTTTATATGTTTAAGTTTAACTTTAAAGTACATTAATAAAAGATGATATATTAAAAGTAAGAAAATTGAATTTGTGAATTGATTAAATTAAACATTATAACTATAGTTATATGTAATGTAGGAGGGTCATGACCCTTCAAAAATTTTGAAGTTAATTATTTGAATAGCACAATTATTCTTTTTACACCCCTCTTAATTTTAAAATTAAATACATTAAACTTTGATATATTATTTTTTTATTCTCAAATTAAATATTAATTTCTTTATTTTATTTTTTAATAATTTTAAATTTTAAATTTAAGTAATATTTTATTTCTATTTATACTTATCCCTTAGATTTGATGCTGACTCGTTGCTTGAGATGCTGCTGCTTAGGCTTGATGTATTCTAAGCCCAAGATGCCTGAGATCATCCGAGCTGGCAAGAAGCGGAGATATGAAAGACCCCCCCCCCCGGCCCACAATACCAAAGACACTCTTCCCTTCTCTTTCAGACCATCAGAGCATGTGGATACCCCCATATGCCACGTGTACGACAATCTTGTCAACGTTTCTTACGTGGCATCCCATGGGAGGCATGCCAAGATCGCGCGCAACACCAACCTCTTATCCAACAACAAACCTTTTGTTTTCGCTTACACTTCTCTCTTTCTTCCTCCCCCGCCCTCCCACACGGCATTTTTTTTTTTGAAAAAGTCATGATCGCCATAGTTACTGCTGGTTCTTTGTCTTTGTCAATCTCTCTATGCAGGCCATGCAAGGTTTCTAAAAAGGTACCGTCTTTTTCTTCTTCTTTATGGGATTAGTTTACCTGGGTCGTCCTTCAAATTTTAAGGAAAAAAATTAGCTTTCACAGTGCTTAACTTCTCATTGTTTGGTGACTGTGAAGTTAGAAAGTTTGGTTTTTGTAAATTGGTTAATCTGTATTCTAAATTTTCTTGAAGTCCCATGATCCCTACGTATGTTGCATTTTGTATGAGTTTATATGGTCATTTGACTTGCATTCAATAGTGGAAAAGAAACTTATGCTAAGTATATGTGTAATATTCTGCTTAACATATTTGGACATGCTTTAGCTAAATAGTTTAAATGATTTTGTTGATCTGTTTTTTTTTTCCTAATTGTTCATTTTTTGATTGTCTTGCTTGAGTAATTTATGGTTACTGCAAAATTAAGGTCAGTTTATGCATGGCTTATATTTCGGCATTGGTGCAATTTCAGGGCGTTAGAGGAGGGTCTGGGGTTTTTGCTGTGTTCGGGGAGGAGAATAGCTTGGGGGCAGGGGATAAGAAGAGCCAGTGGGGCACGCTGTTCGATGTAGAGGACCCAAGGTCTAAAGTCCCACAATGTAAAGGAAAGTTCTTAGATGTATATCAGGCATTGGAATTGGCTAAATATGATATTCAATACTGTGATTGGCGGGCTCGGCAAGATTTGCTTACAATCATGCTTCTTCATGAGAAGGTCTTCTTCAATCTCAACCTGATATTCTTCTTGCAGATCACTTCGTGTTTTGAACTTTTGGTTTTGTTTTTGGCAAGCAAACTGAGTTTTATGATTTTTTACCGTTTACCTATTAACTCTTTTGCAATTTAATCATGTGGGAAGTTTTTGTTGGTTACATCTTCGTAGTTATGGTTGTAGGTAGTGGAAGTGTTGAATCCGTTAGCTTGGGAATACAAGTCAATTGGCAGCATGAAAAAAGAACTCGTGGAGTTGCAAGGAGAACTAGCACAAGCTCACAAACAGGTAGACAAAATTAGCATTTAAATGTTAATGAAACTTTGGTTCTTATAATTTGATTAGAATGTGTATGCCTCAACAAGATATATAAATAGATCAAACGGTTCCGGCTATCCAACTGATGAGATTCTTACCAGTTCCTTTTATATGGTGCAATCTAAGATGTGAATTAATTACCACATGTATGTATCATTTATAACAAAAAGGGAAAAATTGTGCGAGGTCACGTCTTTGGTTTCATGGTCAAATTTGATTCTTACTCAAGAGAAATAACAGGTACATACATCGGAAGCAAGGGTTTCGGCTGCGTTGGATAAACTAGCATACATGTAGAAATTGGTTAATGGTAAGCTGTTGGATCGAGTCCCATGGAGGGCATTTCATAATTCGGAGGTCTTTTACGGAAGCTGTTCTCAATCTGGTGTTGGGGGCAGCCTACTATCTTACCTCCCCCATACCCCATTACATATGGGAACAAGGGACAGCCATTTTTTTTTAAGCTGTTGGAAGATAAGACCAAAACAGAGTCCAGTGTAGCATCCCCTTCTTCGAGTAATCTCTGGATACTGTGAAGGGGAAGTTTCCCTGGAAAAGCTTGGATGTGTCGGGTCCGGTTCAACCGTATCATCCCCACTTGAAGAATTTCTGGTATCCTGTTGCTTTCTCCACTGATCTGAAGGATGACACTATGGTAAGCTATAGTTTGGAACTATGTTATTGCTTATCATCTCAATACTGATCCGTTTATGTCGTGTCACAGCATATTGGCATGCATCCTCATTTTGTAACAGGTTTATCGGGGCCGGTCTTTTTATCACTTAGTTCTCGTTAACAGATGTTTTCTTGCTAATGTCTTGTTCTTTCTCATTTCATATTCCAATTGACTGCTTTGAGGAGCCGTGGGTTCTTTTTCGAGGAAAAGATGGGAATCCAGGTTGTGTCCAGAACACTTGTGCACATAAAGCATGCCCTCTTCACCTTGGTTTGGTAAATGAGGGTCGTATCCAATGTCCCTACCATGGTTAGTAAAATTTTAGGAAGTTGTCAAGCAGTCGCTATCGTATTTTTTTTATAAAAAAAGGCTATACATCTCAATCAATGATTTATATATGCTTGGGATATATATACGGTCCTTCATTGTGTTTAACCAATAGTTATATAAAATATTCTATATATTAGGGTGGGAATACACAACCGATGGAAAATGTGAAAAAATGCCATCTACGCGATTACTTATGTGAAAATATGGTCCATGCCGTGTCTTGAGCAAGAGGGAATGATCTGGGTTTGGCCTGGGGATGACCCGCCGATGGAAACTCTTCCTTCTTTACTACCTCCTCCTGGATTTGACATTCATGCAGAGGTATGCTCTAGCTTTTTTTTTCAAAGACTATTCTGATTGCAAGCTTCACGTGAACTTTGCTTAAATGACTTGACCAAAAAAAATCAACAACTTTATGATTCAAGTAAAGTCTTTACAATCTCTCCTCGATATTTTGGTTTGCTGATAATTGGCACAGATTGTCGTGGAACTTCCGGTTGAGCATGGGTTACTGTTGGATAACCTTTTGGATCTTGCTCACGCACCTTTTACGCACACGTCCACTTTTGCCAAGGGATGGACAGTTCCCAGGTTTGGTCCTGAAATTAAATTGGCAAATCTGTTTTTAATGATATTTTTTTTAAAAATGGCTTGGAAAGGAAAAAATCATAATGATAAGATGCTAAGAGTGCGTTGTAGGTATCTATTTTGTATATGTAATCTGACCGTGCATTATTCAAAAATCTCAGACTGGTGAAGTTTTTGTCGCCTGCTTCTGGTCTCCAATGGTACTGGGACCCTTATCCCATTGACATGGAATTCCAACCACCTTGTATGGTGCTATCGACCATTGGCATATCAAAGCCTGGGAAATTGGAAGGACAGAGTACCAAAGAATGCGCAACTCACCTTCACCAGCTTCATGTTTGCTTACCATCATCGAGAAATAAGACTAGATTATTATATAGAATGTCACTAGATTTTGCTCCCGTGTTGAAGCACATCCCTTTTATACACTATTTATGGAGGCATTCCGCGGAACAGGTAAAATGATATCCTACTTTTCTCTTCTTTGTATAGTGGATTGATGAACGCATTAATTACTTGCTGAACACGTTCTTGAAATCCTCAGTTGTATGTCCGGATGAGTTGCTGTACAGATTGGTAATATTCGATAGGTTGATAACTAGTAATGCATACGACTTTAGCGAGTGCTGACAAGAAGTATGGAACAATGTCGTCATTAATCTCTGCTTCTACAAATGTTAGTAATTTATTTAATGCTTAATTAATACAGGTCTTGAATGAGGATCTGCGACTTGTGATCGGCCAGCAAGAACGTATGATTAATGGGGCAAACGTCTGGAATTGGCTGGTAGCCTATGATAAGCTAGGAGTGAGGTGCAGATTATGGAGAAATGCCGTTGAACAAGGATCTAAACAGTTACCGTTCAGCAAACCGATGTAAATTCGACTCTAGCGACCAATTTAATATCCCTTCTCACATCATCGCCTGTCCGAAACTGTGAATTGATCCGAGACCTGTACGA